ACTTCTCTCCTCCTCTTTATTAGGGATTCTGGACAGTTGTGCTATTAACACAGGCAATTCACTTAGCCTCCAGCATCTAAAGCATCTTCATCTATAAAATGAAGATAACAATGTCTTGGAAGAAAGATATCTAGGAAACTCAGTCATATGAGAAATCTATGAAGCACAGTGAGTCTGAATCAGCTAGCTGAAAGCTGGTAATTCTATCATACAGCTTTAATACAACAGAACCCAATTTCCCAAATGTTAGCGGAGGGAGCAGCGTTGTCACAATTTTTGACTATTGGGAAGAGTTGGAATAGCTACACTTATATTCTGTCCTACTCTTCTACTTCAAATCACCCAGAGTCCAGTCTATAGCAAACTCCAAGTTTGCAATGAATTCTAATCACTTTTCCCTTTCCAAAGATTTTGCTCCTGATTTTTTTTTACCATTCGTCAGCATCGGCCTGTTTCCATATGCGCACTCGGGCAAATAAAAAACGCTGCTAGGAGGGTTCCACTTCCCACCTGCTTGTGCTTATTTCCAAAAATGCATTTAAACGTCTCTCTGAGATCCATAGATGGCTCCAGGCAAGCTCTCAGTCTCCTTAGGGTGTCTTCAAAATTTAAAAATGCTCAGTCAAAAAACAATGCCTACTCAGGGAAGGTGGATTCTAGACAATGAGATAAGCTCAGAAATTATGGTAACTGTTATAGGTGATTCCAAAGGTGGAATCTTGATACATTTTCTCCAAGAACATAGGACATGCAGGTGGGCTTATTAGAAAGAAGTTTTCAGAAAACTGATAACTGTATTGATGAGGAAAAGCCCAGGAAAGTAGGGCCAAGGAGATTTTTCCAACAGGGTTATGCACCCCTGCTCATTCCCCCAGAGCCCTACCATCCACAGAACAGCTCCCTCACTCAAAGAACATTTCAAAGGAGCATGACTCGAGTCACTTGGGGATTCCCAAACTGGCATTTGTATATGGCATAAGTCAAAAAGCTCAGCATTCTTAGTAGTGTTAGAGACATAAAAACACTACCTTCAGAAGTATATAGACCAAATGGAGGCTATGTTGAGAGAATAAAAAATAGCTTCACATTTTTGTATTCTTTGTTTAATAATATTTCTATGGTTTTATAGCAATAGTTTTTTACTCACTCGCATATAAATACATGGCCCAATTTTCTTATTTGAAAAATTTGCCTCAGTCCTTTTTCCTTTCTCTCCATAAGCCTCCAGCCCATTGATTGACTGCACTTTATGGTGAAGCTCATTGAAGAAGTTGTCCTCAATACATGTGTGATGTCTCACTCCATTTCTTCATTAACCTCGTCTGATCAGGCTCCAACCTGCCACCACCTCCACTGGGAAATGTCTTAGCACAGAGCTTCCCAGATCACCTCCATTGCTTCTGACAGGTGTCTAGCTAATGTCCTCTACCCTGGCTTCTTTTTCTTTATACCTTTTATCGTGACTCCATATTTTGTTCCCTATATGGTTGTTTATTATTCCTTTCCTCACCAGAATATGTTTGCTAAGAGAAGGAAATTTTCTAGTCTGTTTCTCTTGTTGCTATTAGCACTAAAAATGATGCCAAACATAAAATAGGGTTTCTATAAACAATTATAAAGTGAATAAATTAACGTCCTATTTTTCTTCAAAATAACTCATATTTTCACTTGACTGCTGTGGACATTAAGTATATTATCTGAATATAATACACAAATACCATAAAATAGCTTGGAAAGCATTGCTCTGATATAAGGAACTAAAATTAGAAAACAGGCTGACCTAGGTTCCTTAGAAACCCCAACAACTGAAAAGAGTAAATGTAGTGTATGTTTCTATATTTAATATCTATGAAAACCCAAACCCACTGCTGTCAAGCCGATTCTGACTCCAAGTGACTCTACAGAACAGTGTAGAAGGATTCCATGGGCTTTATGAGGTTGTAAGTCTTTATGGAAGCAGACTGCCTCATCTTTCTCCCACAGAGTGACTGCTGAGTTTGAACCACTGAACTTTCTCTTTTTACAGCTGAACACAACCTACTGAGCACCAAGACTCCTTAACATGCAGAGACTCCAAAAACACTGTGGGGGAACACAAAGTCCACTATCTTTGAATTCCATTCTTCCACAAGTTTTTGAAGCTTCTTCATATAATAAAAGGGTATATGAAATGTGTTCTATACACATATGGGGAAATTTTCTGGAAGAATCTTTCAAAAATAATTTGTTTCATGATTAAGAAATAGAGACCTTCACTGCGACAACAAGCCCACTGGTGACTGTTGAAGCACCACCAACTCACGCACTGGGTCTCTGCTGCTGCCATGCGCGGAAGTCAGCTTCTCAGGGACCAGGCCCCCAACTTGGAGGCCAATTGCATGGCTGGCAGCATCTGTTTGCATGACTTTCTGGGGGAATCCTGGGACATTCTCTTCTCCCACCTTCAGGGATTCCCTTCCCCCACTCCCTACCTGGTCCCCAGTGTGCGCCAGGGAACTTGGCATACCAGCAAAGCTGGCACCAGAATTTGCCAAGAGGAATTTAAGTTGATTGCCCTTTCAATAGAAAATGTTGAAGGCCATCTTGCCTGGACAAGGATATCAATGCGTACTGTAATGAAGAGCCTAAGAAAAATGACCTTTTCCCTTCGTGAACGATAAGAATCGGGACCTTGTCACCCTCTGGTGCATGCTGGACCCAGCAGAGAAGGATGAAAAGAGCGTGTCTGTGAACGTCCGAAAAGGAACGCTGGTGTGGTTAAGCTTTGGCCCTGGAACCACAAAGTCCGCAGTTGAAAACCGCCGGCAGCGCCGCAGGAGTAAGTGGAAGCTTTCTACTCACGTAATGAGTTAGTCTCAGACACCCACAGGGGCAGTTTGAACCTGTCCTACTGAGTTGCAACGGGTGGAACCGTCTCTGTGGCAGTGAGTTTAGTTTAGGGTTAGTGGCGTTTCGGGCGCTGTTTGTTTTGATCCTGTTAAGAAATTGAAGCTGTCTATACGCTCTTGGGTTCTCACTGGAAGGAATTTTCACAAGATTCTCCAGCAGATGGCAGAAAAGCAGGTTGCCACCCCAGTTGATGGAAAGACATAGACAATATGATGATCCTTCCAACTGTCCCCAAATAAGCAGCCAAGAAACTCTTCCCTAAAGAAGTCTTCATCTTACAGGCCTTGGCTCATGCCCTCCCTCAGCACAAGAACACTTTGTTCTAACAACCTGGCATTCTGTGATGTCCACCCACCCACCCACCCCGACACCCTGCACAATCTCTGAAGACAAAATGGGCGCATGAGCAAATGTGGTGAAGAAAGCTGATGGTGCCCAGCTATCAAAAGATATAGCATCTGGGGTCTTAAAGGCCTATAGATAACAAGCGGCCATCTAGCAGAGAAGCAACAAGTCCTCATGGAAGAAGCACACCAGCCTGTGGAATCTGAGGTGTCGACAGATTGGGTAATAGGCATCAGAAGACCAAGGATAAACAAACAAACAACCAAAAGAAGCCATATTGTTGAGAATGAGGAGGGTCAGAGCAGAGACCCCAAACCCATCGGTAGACAATAGGACATCCCTCACAGAAGAGTCACAAGGAAGGGACGAGTCAACCAGGGTGCAGTATCACACTAATGAAACACACAATATTCCTCTGGTCCCTTGAGGCTCCCACACCCCCCACTATTATGACCCCAGCCCTGCCTTTCACTTCGGGCTAGACATATGGAATCCAGGAATGGGAATTGGAGTAGTGATGCCAGGAGGGTAGGGGGAAGGTGGGGAGAGGAAGGGAAAAGGGGAACCAATTGCACTGATTGACACATAATCACCTTCGGACCACCCCTCCCCCACCCCTCCAGAGGGACCAAAACCAGAAACCATGGGGGAAGGGAGACAGTGGTCGGTGGTAAGACATGAAAATAATAATTTATAATTTATTAAGGGGTCACAAGGGGGGGGGATAGAGGAGTTGATACTAAGGGCTGAATAGAAAGTAACTGTTTAGAAAATAGCGATGGCAACATATGTACAAATATGTCTGATATGTATGGATTGTTATAAGAGCTGTAAGAGCCCCCAATAAAATGATCTTTTAATAAAAATTTTAAAAAGAAATCTTCATCAAAGAGCTCCCATCTGGCAAGAAATATGTCTGTGCCACTCCCTCCCCGCCAGCTTGTCTGGGAAGTTGGGGCTGGAGGTGCCCGCTTAGCGCAGTGAGCCAGAGGATGCCCGCTGTCCATCATGCTTTCCTGCAGCAAACGTTCACAAACATGCTGGTGTGATTATCGCCTAGTAACGAAATGAAAATAGCCCTCACTTTTTCCTGAGGCCTCGCTACCCTCCGCGCCTTCACCAGCATTCTGTTCTATTCCCGCGTCTCCACACGGTTGCTCCCTTTGAAGTAGGCTGTGTATTTGAGACTCGGATCTTATTGGAACGCTGCAGGGCTTGTGATCATCCGGCTCAGTGGTTCTCAGCCTTCCTCAGGCCGTGGCCCATTAAGACAGTTCATCATGTTGTGGTGACCCCATCCCCCAACCATAAAATCATTTTTGTTGCTCCTTCGTAACTGTCATTTTGTTACTGTTATGAATCGGGTGAGCCCAGTGAAAGGGTCCTATCAGTTGACGGTTAGAAAGCCTACATGATACCATGACACAAGGACTTTAGCTGTCTCGATCAAACACCTCATTTTTAATATGCTTTTACAAAGTTGTTTCTATTTTTTATAGAATTACTCATTTGCGGGGAGTAACAGAACTTGAAGTTCAATTCCTTTTGTAAATCTCTAAGCATATAGCCCAAGAAGGTGGCAGTAACCTGGATATGTTTCAGTATTCGGTATTTTGACCACAGCTGGGGAGAAACTTTTCTAGGGGATGACTGAAGTGGGGAGAGGAGGGTGAGGGACTTTGAAATATTTTACCGTAAGACGAGAATGGTGGTGGATTTCTATGGGAATAAGGCACTCTCTGGGAGGTGCATCGAGAAGCAAGCGGCACAACACGTCCCGTGTGCCTGAGGCCTTGCACACGGTGAAGGGCACACGTCAGGAGAAAGGGAAGGGACGGGAAATGCTTGACTGTGGAGCTGCTCTTGCAGTGCGTGACTAGTTTCTCAATTTTGCTATTTTGAGCATCTGGAAAAAAAAGTCCTTTGCTAAAACCAGAAAATATATGTGTGTGTATACACCCCACTCTTTTTTAAATAAATACCATTTTATTGGGGGCGTTCCTCTTGTTGTTGGTATTGTTCTTAGGTGCCACCAAGGCACAGAGACGCTGTGTACAGCAGGCTGGAACACCGCTTTGTCCTGCGCCTTACTCACAATTGTCGTTCTGTGGAAACCATCACTGAAGCCACTGTGACAATCCTTCTTGTCCAGGGCTTTCCTCGTTTTTTTGTTGCTCTTCTACTTGATCAAGCATGAGAGAGCCCTGGTGGTGCACTGGGGATGCCTTGGGCTGCGATCTGCATAATCAGCAGTTTGAAACCACAAGCCGCTCCGAGGGAGAGAGAGGGAATTTTCTGCTTCTGAAAATAGAGTCTCAGAAACCCACAGGGAATCGCTATGAGTTAGCATTGACTTGATGGCAATGAGTTTGGTTTTAGAGTTTGTCTCTCCTGGTAGCATGCCCGAGTGCATGAGCATCAGTCTCCATTATCCTTACCTCTGTGAAGGAAGGCTGGACTGCTTCCAAGACACATCCGTTTCTTTCGGCAACCTGCACTACTTTCCATTTTCTTCCCCAACACCATAAGTCAAATGCTTCAATGATCTTCTGGTCTTCCTTAGTCGATGTTGAAATTTCATATGCATATGAGGGGGCTGCAAAGTGACATCCGGGTTCCTCAATGCTTTAAAGAGGACTTGTCAGCGGATTTACCTAATCAAATGTGTCCTTTGAGCTCTCGGATGCTGCTTTCATGAGTGTACTGATTCTGGATCTAAGCAAGAAAAAATCCTTGCTACCTTCAATCTTCTCTCTGGTCATCAGTATGTTACCTAGTGGTCTAGTTGTGAGGCTTGTTCCAGACAGAAGGCCGCAGACTTGTATTTTCTTCAGCCGGTGCTTCTAGTCTTCCTTCCTCTCGGCAAGCAAAGTTGGGTCATCTGCACATCGCAGATTATTAATAAACCTTCCTCTAATTTTCATGCTGCCTTCTTCATTTAATTCAACTTCTCTAATTATGTGCTCAACACACAGATTGATTAATTATGGTGGCAGAATTTTCCTGATTGTGAAGTATGCAGAATTCTCTTGTTCTCTTTCCACAACTGTCTCATGATCCATGCACAGGTTCCAAAGGAGCCCAGTGAAGTGTTCTGGAACTGCTGTTCTTCTCAAGGTCATCCATAGTTTGTTATGACCCACAAAGTCAAATCCCTTTGCCTAGCCTCTGAAACACAAATAAGAATCTCTTGGGTTCCTCTCTTTCAACTAAGAGCCATCTGACATCAGCAATGGTATCCCTTGGCTCTTGGTCATATGCTACCTCTTGAAATGCTCGAATGTATTCTAATTGAGAACAACAAAAAGAGAAGAGAAAAATGATGATGAATGACAAAGAGAAGATACTTGCCGGAGTAATGACCTGGAAAAGGAAAAGGAATCGAATCGAATGCACGAGTGGAAGAGTGGACCTTTGATGGGATTAAGGCCAGTTCCTCTATTGAAACAGGAGGGAAGGTGGAGTGGACCCAGATGCTGCTGCATCTCCAGATTTGGTGGTAGGCTCAGATTGTTGTGCATTTTGCCATTTTCCCAAGGAAATCTGATAAAAGGTCGTCAGTGGAGACAAAGTGAGATATTTAGTGACACAGAGCAGGTGGGAATTAATGATCTTGTAGAATGAGAAACACATTAATGGAATGTGTCATATGATTGCCATACTAAATGTAGTATGGTGCTCCTGTGTAGTGTTCATGCATAAGCTTAAAGTGAGAGCATTGCTCTGATTGCAGGGTTCCCCAGGCACAGGCAGTGGCTGGAGTGCAGGCACATAGTGGATAGATTGGCACATAGTTTTGCTAGGGAAGCAAATCCTCATTTTGGAAACCTCCTTCAGATTGCTTCCTGGGCAGCTTAGTCAGTAACCGGACTGTACTGTTAATATGCTTGGTCACCTGCATCTGGTTTGTGATTCCTCTAGGTACAAATGGATTAGTGCTGTATTTTTTATTTGTGAGGGCATGAAAGAGATTAACATGGTTCTAGACTAGGATTTCAATGGAAAAGAAATGCATAGCTTGGATTTGGGTATCAGGCCAACCAGGTTTGGTATCTGACTCCATCCTTTATTAGCCATTCGACCGTGAACAAATTCCATAATGTAGATGAGGTGTCTCAGTTTATTCTTCTATAGAATGGAGTAGTAATAATAATAATAATAATAATAATAATACCACCTACATGCCAAGGATCTGTGCTGTAAGTCATATAAAAGCAACTAGTAAAGTGCCTATCATGTGCACAATGGTCAGTAATGATGATTATCAATCTTAATAAAGGTAATTAAGCCAAGATTACAGTTTTAATAAACTTGCTGATTGGTATCACTTTCTCTTTTAAGGTATTCCAAGTGCTGTGTTTAATGGCCAAAGCCATGGAATATTATTCAGGAGCAATGGGAATATAACCAGAGAGCTCACCAACATCACATTCGGTTTCAGGACAAGGGATGTGAATGTAGCAATATCGCATGCAGAGAAAGAGTCTGAATTTCTCCATATTGGCATTCAAGACTCCAGATTATTATTCCAATTACAAAGTGGCAACGCTTTCTCTGTGCTGAATCTGACGAGTTTACAGCCGCTAAACGAAGATACATGGCACCAAGTGACTCTTTCCATGACAGACGCATTGGCCCAGTCCTCTAAGTGGCAAATGGAAGTGGACAACCATACACCGAGTGTGACCAGCGCCGTTGCTACCGGAAATCTCAACTTTTTGAAGGCTGAAACAGACATTCAAGTTGGTCACCAAACTTTGGACAATAGGAATGGTTTGTGAGGCTGCCTGAGTACAATAGAATTCAGTGGCATTTATCTCTCTTACTATGAAAACTTCCCTGATTTCACTAATAAACCTCATAAAGAAGAGTTTCTCAAAATGTCTGCAAATGCCGTGCTTACTGGCTGTTTGGAGCTCAATGCCTGCCACTCTGACCCCTGTTTGCCTGGTGGCAAGTGTGAAGCCATCTACAGCTCCTATCATTGCGCCTGTCCCTTGGGATGGTCAGGGACACACTGTGAACTCAACATGGATGAATGCTTCTCTAACCCCTGTATCCATGGTAACTGCTCTGTCAGTGGTGCAGCCTACCGCTGCAGTTGTGAGCCTGGATACCTGGGCGTGAACTGTGAAGTGGAGATAGACAATTGCCAGAGTAAACAGTGTGTAAGCGGGGCCACCTGCATCAGTGACACTAATTCTTGTCTCTGTTTGGACAATTTTACTGGGAAAATGTGCAGGTGAGCTTGGACTTTAGAGCTATGCTCTTTATTCTCCTTGTCTAATTGAAAAGCTCTGGCTTCAAGGTCTGTAAATACAGGCTGTGGTGAACTAGGGTAGCATTAGTCAGTCCCTCGTGGTGGGTAATGTAAAGACAGGTGATGATCTACACAGAAGAATGGTAGTTTTTTGAGGAGACGTGTAAGTACTTTTTTCCCCCTGCCATCTTTGTTAGAATGTGTCTTATGAACCACAGTTCTGCGGTCTGATAATGTTAACATCTTATGGGGAGAGAGGGTTCCCAATAGAAGCAAGAAGTCGAATGTGAATTGTAATATTCAGAGGAGAGACGTGATTCCTACCACTAAAAAGATGCTGGGGTGATTTGAGACAGGTAAATATCATAAAATCCTGAAAAGACTCAAATATCATAAAATCATGACTCACACAATACAGAAAAATATGTGTTAGGACTTTATTTAACTCATTAATTCCTGAGGGAACCCCTAAGAAATAAAGGCTAATTCAAAGGGTAGACAAAAGAAGAACAATTGAGAAATGCATTTGCTACTATGTGAGAAAATATTTACTGTCCTATCAAGAAATAACATTAATATTTAGAATCTTTTCTACAATGTGAAAAATCAATTGTTTAGCCCTACCAACAAATTGATTTACATTTCTATGCACCCAATTTATTTTTATTTGCATTAATATAATTGTTCAACATGCAGAGTTGAAAAATAGCTTAGTAAAGAAAACCTGAGACATGCATCCCTACAAACTCTGATAATCTCAGAGGGTCCACTGTATGAGGGGCCTTCAAAAATGTGGGGACAAGTGGAATAAAAACACAATTGAATTTTTCCATTAATTTTTGAAGACCTTTTATATATCACTCAGTATCCCACTGAATGAAAATCCAGTGAACTCTTTTGCCCATTTTTCCTAAAACTAAAATGCAGTATTTCAATTTAAGCAATCATCTCCTTTTTATGTAATATAAAGAGAAGAGAGTAAATATGTTCCTTTGGCATTATATTGTTTCCATATAGGTCAAAATAATTATTACCTTCAGAATTTTTATTCTGCTTCAAATTTACAAAACAATGAAATTTTTATTGGGAGGTGAATGAATTATTAGTAACAAGTAATATATTCCAGGACTTTGAGAGGAACATCTGGAATTGGTTGGCAGTCTACAGAGTTTACACGAAGTCAGAGATGGTTCGTTTAGGTGAATCTCTTAGCAGAGAAAGCATATAGCCACATCTATAAGAAATAGCTTATAGCTCTGTAACACTTCCTTCTATTCGGTCTACTAGGGCAAAGACCACTCTTCCATTCCAGTAAACGGTGACATCCCGAGTGTTTGCCAGCTCGTTTGCCAGAAGGTAAACTGCCTGATCAAGAACAACTCGGGATCAAAACCAATATTACTGCCATGGTGAACTTTTATATGTCAAATAAACATGTTTGTGCCCAAATTAGTTCTGCAAGCATTTTTCCAGGCTAATTCATCAAAGTCAAGTTCTGAAAGACCAAAGTTCTCAAAAGTACCATCTAATAAGTTTCAAGAATTGTTTACTAAACCTAAGATTGTATACAAAACTTCACATTTGCATTGCTAATTGACTGCTCTCAAAACTGGTTGACATTTTGGCTCTTTTGAAAAATCTTTACGCTATTTCCTCTGTTAAGCAGAACTGATTAGCTCTTGTGGAAAGAGGCACCCATAGCCAGCATATAGCTTGGTTTCCTCATATTAGCTGCAGTGCACACGACAGGAAAAAAACCTTGTAATATTTCTTGAATATTTTATCATATGTCAGGTGCCATACACATGCACAATAGGCCAACGGCAGCATGCTCAATAATGTTATAAACATCGGTTCTTTCATTGTCTGATTAATTTCTAGCCATTTGTTTCACCTCTTACAAGGCTGCCTTAGTAGGAAGAGCTTTGTTGTTGTACAAGAGAACCACACACTGAATTCACATGCACTTACCATGCGGTGATATACACCAACATCTCAGACAGCATTTGGCTTGCATTCTGCTGTGAATTATTAGATCGGGAGCAGCAAGTCTTGGCAGGGCAACCGGAGTTCAACCCTGAAAGGCAACAGAGAAATCACATGAGTGCTTGGGTACCAGAGTGCTGTCCTTGCCTTCCCGGCCTTTATAGAGATGCAATTTTCCTATGGCCTTTGTTGATTTATTGGCAAGGCAGCAGCAAATCTAGCTGGAGCAAGCTCCTTTCCAACCCTAAATTTATTGCCACCCTATGGCATAGATCTCATCTCACGGATGAAAACTGTGTAAAAATGGAAGATGGATAGCCGTGCTTCCTACAGCACCCGGCGGCGGCAGAGGATTTTTCCTGGAGAAAGTGATTCCGGTGTCAAGGAGCCCAATTAAACATTTGTAGCTCAGCCAGCCTGAGTTCTTAATTAGTTTGGCATTGTCTGTATATATATACTTTTCGGGGAAAAGTTTTCTTGAATAAAATGAACAGCTGTGGCTGCTCTTATCTCTCCTGACACAACAGATTACCCTCAACAGACTGTGGGAACGAGAAGACGAATCTCACTTGCTACAATGGAGGCAACTGCACCGAGTTCCAGGGCGCCTTCCGATGCACGTGCGGCCAGGTTTTACGAGAGAGCGGTGAGTGCGACGGAACGCTGTGCGAGAAAGTATGGACAAAAGAGCAGGAGGGTGACTGCAGGTTCTTTTCCTCATTTGTTTCTTAGACGAAACCCTGCGCTGAAAGGGACATTCAGAAGGAGTTAAACAATAAAGAAGAAGAAAAATTACGGTCTGAGTCAAAGTAAAGGACATTTTGTTAGCCAAGAAGGTCAAATAGGGAAATAAGAGCTGGCTCTCTGTTTCCAACAGCAGGCTTTCTGTTCAGGGACTTCACGCACGGCACTCCTCCATTCATACATGAGGGGGCAATGGTGGGGCCGTGAGTGAAGCATTTGGGGGCTGCTAGTGGTGAGGTCAGCAATTCAAGCCCACCAGCCACTCTGAGAAAGATAAGGCTGCTGGCTCGTGTAAAGATTCATAGTCTTTGAAATGCAATATAGGGATCAGTGGCCTTAGGGTTTTGGGTAGTCTTATTCACACACAACTCCCATTTGTAGCAAATGCTTCCCTTACCCTCCAACATTTATATATATATTCATTTACACACACTTGGTATTTAAATTCAAATCACTGATTTCAAACATGGCGAAAAAAAATTTTTTTAAGAACAGTTTGCCTTGCCTTTCTCTCCCAGGGGACTTTCCGCCTGAGTAAACTCTGCTGCAACGTCGAAAAAGAGTGAACTTGTGTTTAATAGATTCTGCAATGTTAACATCCTTAATCATCACTCGAGTTAATTCACACGATTCTAATAGATTTACTTATTTTGGCATTGCATCTACTAATTAACCTCTAATGAAAGCTCCAATAGTGTTGATTGGCAATGTGGATTATTTAGTGCGCCCTCGAGTTCAAAAGAAAGAGAGTAGCTAGGGGAACAAACAGACAGACAGACAGAAAGACAAAACCCGCCTCACATCAACTCATAGGGGTCCCACAGAGCAAAGTAGAACTGCCCTGTGCGTCTTTGAGGGTGAATCTTTACAGAAAGAGAAAATGTCACCTTTGTCCTGAGGATCAGCTGGTGGTTTTGAACTGCTGGACTTGCAGTCAGCAGTCCAATTCCTAACCTACTATTCCACCAAGGCTCTAGGAAATATTAAGCCATCTCCCAAGGCCGAGTGGTATAGTGGTTATGCATCAGGCTGCTAAGAACAAGGTCAGCAGTTCAAACAACCTGTGGCTGTGTGGGAGAAAGGCAGGTTCTCTACACCTGGGAGAAGTTTGCAGTCTTGGAAACTCGCAGGGGCACTTCCTTCGGTCAGTGAGTCCGACCTGATTTGATGGCAGTGAGTTTGGTTTTTGGTTTGGGGGAATGTGACTTCCATACTGTCCAAAGATGTCGAAAATCTTCCCTCTACTAAAGTTCTTTCTCTCCTTCCCACTTAAACGCCCAGCTTTCTAGTGTCATCCTGGCAAGTTGTAAGATGGATGGTGTGAACACTTGGCCCACCCAGGACAGAGAGCTTGGCAGGCTCCTGAGAGTTGTCAAGTTGACTCGGATCTAATCAGAGGAGTCTCCTTCCAGTGCAGGAGCCTGCGCCAAAACAACAAAAACAAAACGTCTCAGCTATGCTTGGTATCCAGCAGGATAAGAGGCTGTTTTTCTTGGAAGAGATATTTCTTTACTTTATACCTTGGGCTGACCCTGTCCTACCACCTCAGCCTGCTCCATTTCAAGCTTGGTCATTAGTCTGTGGCCCAGCTAGGCAGGCTATGCTTTGAGGGCGGTGAAGGAAGGAATAAGGGGAAATAATAACATCGTTAGCACCAGACTTCAACATTGTGAGCTGCTCTATTCTCAGTGCTGAGATTTTATATAAACTTCTTAAAGATGCCTTTATTTCCAGACCTAGCAGAGTGTTTGGCAGATGGAAAAATAACTAAGTAATTAGATGCCGATTCCTGGTAACGCCGTATGTCAAAAGGCCAGAACTGCTTCAGGGGGTTCTTTACCGAAAGAGCCCTGGTGTAACGGTGGTTAGGTGCTCAGCTGCTAACCACAAAGTCAACGGATTGAAGCCACCTGCCTCTCTGAAGGAGAAAAATCTTCCTGAAGGAGAACAATCTCTTTTCATGAAGATTTGCAATCTTGGACCCGCTGTGCTACAGGGTCTGCATAGGGTTGGAACCAGCTGCACACCACACAGCAACTGTCTCTAAGGAAGCCATTCAGAAGGCCTGTCTTCCATGGTGTCACTGGGTGCATCCAAACCAGCAACTTTTAAAAAAAAACTTATTTTTAATAGCTCACTGCCATTGAGTCAATGCTGACTCAGAGTGACCCCCTGTGGGCTTCCAAGACTGTAACTGTTCAGGGGAGTACAAAGTCCAGTCTTTCTCCTGAAGAGGGGCTGGTGACTTCGAACTGCCGACCAAGCAGATCACAGCCCATTGAGTAACCAGTACACCACTAGGGAGGCACCTTTAGGAGTTACATCAATTTCATGGCTTGAATGCAGGATCAAATGACTGAATGTGTGATCAGGAGAGCTGATCAAGGCAGACACAGAAAAACAAGTTGCTGGTAGGAAAAATGATTGGGGGAAAAATGACCAATATCCCAAAAAAGAAATGGCAACTTACCTACAATTGATGTAAGTGATTTGAAAATGTGGCTTTTGAAAGTCATCTGACCAAAACATTCAAATATAAGGCTCAGCGGTCAGAGTATACATTCATTAGCAAGTTAAATCTTGTAATCCAATTGCTTTTTTTGGTTGTTGCTTTCAAAGATGGAAATTCCAAAGAGGCATCATTTAAAACCTCCCCAAATGACACAAATAGATTTTGTTTGTCTTTGGGGGGCTTTCTTTTCTCCGCCTGAGGGTACTGATGAACTATAATCCTGACCGCCTGAATGCATTGGGTCTATTTGGCCAACTGTAGGAGCACCTCATTCACAGCCCTCCCGGTTTCCACAGGCCCCTCATAAACCAGCCCTTTATAAGGTGGCAAACCACTAATGCTCTGGAGGGAGGAACGGTTTATGCATGGCCTGGTTTTCGCTTGGTCCCTAAGCATTTCCACCTGTTTCTCATCCTAATGAACTGTGTGTGCGTGTGAGAGCATTCACGTGTGTACATGCACTCTGGTACACAATGTTCCGGGAAAACCAACATTTTGTTTTGAAAGAATTTTAAAGAACACGTTAAACACATACTTTTAGTGTTAAGTTGTGCAGGGTTTGATAGATAAAGTGGCACTTCTCTGGGTAGAAGAACTAGACCAATTTTTCTCTTCCCCCCTTTCACAGCCAATGTATTCAACAGGGTGCTGGGTTTCTGTTTATTTTCAAGGTGTGAAAAGGACATCGATGAGTGTGCCTCTGATCCGTGCTTCCACGGAGGCCGGTGACAGAACCTAGTCAACCAGTTCCAGTGCCTGTGTGAAGTCGCGTTCGCTGGCCAGCACTGCGGGGTAGACGTGAGCGGCCTCTCCTTTTACGTCGCCCTCTTACTCTGGCAGAATCTCTTCCAGCTCCTTTCTTACCTCATTCTGCGCATCAATGACCAGCCAGTGGTTGAGTGGGGTGGACAGGAAGATTATTAACACACATTGGAACATTCTCGAATTTAAAAGCCATTTGAAATTCAAGAGATGCCACGACGCTGATCTCTCAAAAGGAGAAAGTAAAAACCACCTTGAGAAGTAAACTGAGGAACCATTGAAGCATATCACAAGCCCTTCACGCACGAACCTAAACACGTATTTTCCTATTCTGTCTTTAAATGGCAGTGGGGCTGGGGGTGTTCTTAATGTAATCCCAAATGTCTCATCATTGAGTGTGTTTAGTGCAAGCACATTGTCATCCTAAGAGCGTCCGTATGACTACAGCAATAAGAAACCATCTCTCCCCCATTGCACTTTTCCTTATTTTACCTTGTAAGGTGCCTTCATTCATTCTGCACTATCGTTTTTCATAGTCTGTGTCATTAGCAACTGCCCTGGTCTAAAAACATGAATGTATTTTATCTGTAGGTACTAACTAATAGCCAGTCTCCACTGTTTTGACAAAATGACTTTTCAGGGGAAATGACCATTCACGAGAAGCACAAGAACAAAACAGTATATCATAAAAGCAACAGAAAACATTCATTTTATGTTTAATTAGTAATAAAATATTTCATGTAATAAATTAATGTTATCTGGAGTACTGACAACCCTTTCAAACTGGCGAGCAGCCACTCTGAAGTCTTTGCTGCGTGCTTGTCCAGGTCCCTCTCTTCCAAAACAAGCTGTGTCATCCCATCATTTTAATAATCTGGCCCAAAGTTATTTTTTGTGACAAGACACTAAGAGAAAACCTATCGATCAGCATGTGTAGTCACTAGTATTTTAAGTGTGCATGGAATAGATCAGAGCCATCTATCACATGAACAGGTTTGCATTGACTCCAAGAAGAAGCCCTGGTTAGTTGCGCAATCATTAATCAAAAGGCCCCCAGGTCAAACCCATCAGCTGCTCTGCAGAAGAAAGGTGTGGCAGTCCGCTTCCAGAAACTTTACAGCCTTGCGATCTCTATGGGGCACTTTTACTCCGCTTTAAAGGGTCAAAATCAATTTGACAGTTATATGTCTATAATGTTATATGTATACATATATACATGTAATTATATAAATCTGTAGTTATATGCATATAGGATACTCCAGATGTAATGTGTGCTCTACAAAGTAAAGGTAAAGATCTGCTGCCTATCCCTCTCCCTCTCTGAATTCTGCTGCCTCTGTTGTCACTGTAACTGTAAATACTTTTCCTGCTTTTCAAATGTCTTTCTATCATGAGGTATCTGACTTAAAAAACAAATATTGTCCTTGTTCTCGTTTTGCTTCTGTACTTTCAACTACACTGTAGGATGGTGGCTTTTACGTTACTGTGCAGCAAAATAAAACCTGTGCTTCTGCATCTTCTACTTCTCTTCTCTGGTCATTATGATCTTTGTTTTCTCTGTGTCTTGCATGGCTAAATGTCCAGCAACCAGGCATGCACACACACACACACACACACACACACACACCACATGACGGAACACACAATAGTGTTTTTTCTGAATTGAGAATGTTTACCCTAGCTGTGTCTCGACATAGAAACACCTGTGATGGTCAAGGTCAAGTTCTCTTGTACCTTCAATCCCTAAGAAGAAAGCCTCTAATTGAAGTGCTAGAGTGGAAAACATTCCTAATGATTCTCACTGGGGGTTGGTCCTAACAATGGTTCACCCTAACTTTATTATTTTAATATTTTGAATTTGCTAAAGATAATGCTTAATCTACATAGTATGAAGTTTATCATGTATGCTTATCATATTAAGTGAGAAAATGTAGGATATTTGATCAAACAAAGAAGGACTTATTCCCAGTGGTGTTGCAGTATCGTAAGGATATTGAGCATGTCCGTCTGCATTTGCACCTTCCATATGTCCTTCAGCATAGTTAGAATAGCTGCTTTCAAATATTTTCTGCTGATTCCAACATTTGGGTCATCTGTCATTGGTTTTTATTAATTGAATTTCCTCTGTGTATGGCTCTCACTTTTATTTCTTTGTCTAGTGCAACAGTTCTCAACCTGTAGGTCTCGACACCTTTGAAGGTCGAATGACCCTTTCACAGGGGTCGCCCGATTCATAACATTAGCAAAATTATAGTTATAAAGTAGCAACGAAAATAATGTTATGGTTGGGGGGTCACCACCACATGAGGAACTGTATTAAAAGGTTGCAGCATGAGGAAGGCTGAGAACCACAGAGTCTGAAGAATAGTCACCTAATCAACCAATCAGATCATTTAACCTCCAACCTCTTTGGTCAGGTCCCCTAGAGTGAGTAGCCAAGGATACCTTTGTTTCATTCTTTTAATTTTAGCTGGGCTCATTAGAGTCTGCTCCGAACCCAAATACCAAACCCACTGCAGTAAAGCCCATAGTGACTCCGCAGGACTGAGTAGGTAGACCTAATCTACTGGGCTCCCAAGCCTGGACGTCTTTATGGAAGCAGACGGCTCCATCTTTCTCCCATCAGCAAGTTCTTGAACCAATGTTTCCATCAGGTATGACTAACATCAACACAATTTGACTTTGATAGAAAGTACCTGCTAGGCAGCTGTTGGATTTGAATCACCAACCTTTCATTTAGAAGCCTATATGTAACCCACTGCACCACAAGGGATCCTGAGGGTTTGATCTACATGTATATAATTTAGGGATTGCCCAAGAATTGGACTGAAGGTATTTTCAGAATGTGTTGTTCTCCCTTTAGACCTTTTCTTTGAAGAAACCCTCCCAGCCCTTTCCAGCTGCTGTGGTTCCCCCGACCACTTTTCTGGGGCCCAGTAAGCCAGCAAGATTGGACATTTCTCTCCTAGTTTTTTTTTAGTCAACTAGCATAATGTCAACTGGAACCTACTTTTAGGCAAAAACCAGAAAGCAAGCAAATAAAAAATAAAACAAATAAACCTGAGTCTTACCCATTTTGCTGCAGCCTTCCAAGCTTCAACTCCCCTACAGTTTCCAGCTACTTCTAGCCCCTCATCAGCGTCTTCGGGTGGTCGGTGTGAGTGTTTCATCTACACTGCGGAGCTGGTGCTCGCACGGTTACTGGGAGAGGAGCTCCCTTGCTGTTCACCATAGAGGGAAGCTGTAATTCTTGAGTTGGTAACCTGAGACTATGTCAAACTAAGTATTTTGTCACAGAACTGGGTTATTGCTTTACTTCTGACTGCTGTACCAGACAGGTTGCTCTGAAAGTCAGGTTTTACTTCAGGACTCCAGATTAGAAGGAAAAATCTGATGACTGTCAGGTTCTTTGGAGAAAAGCATTTTAAAAACAGCTGAAAATAAGTTTTTACTACAAAAGAGAAGACTTAATGAAAGTATGAAATTGCCTTCAAACATGAATTATGTTTGAGAATGAAAGAGTAGATTTGTTCTATCTGGATATAAAACTATCTGAGATAGTTAAGGTTTATTGTGCCAACCTGGCTGATAAACACATGTGGGATTACTTGAAGAGCAGAGAGATAAATGGCTGAGTGAGCTTCGCCGTTCTAGTTCTCGGGTCTCTTGCTTTCTGATGGTCGGACCAGGGTGCAGCTGCCTTAGCCAGTTCCCTGCTTCAGCTTTCAAGGCTCACTTCCTGCAAGACATCCCTGAAGAGAAGCAGCATGGACCTACCCCGATGCAGCCCTGGGTGCTGGAGCAACCCTATGGAGACCTTTGCCAGCGCTGAGATGTTAACACATTCACTGATTCAGCTTTCCTCCTGCAGTCGGCCTCATTGCCTGTGTTTTGTGGGATTGAGGACTCTGTAGATTGGTGTTGGACATATGGGCTAATGTCGGACTTATGGGCTTGGGCAGCACTGGGTTTGGGATGCTTTCTGAATGTGCACTTACCTTTTCTATAAAACTATCTTTTACACACATATGAGTTCCTGTCGATTTGTTTCCCTCATCTACTCCGACTGACTGACACTATCCAATCCATTCTAATTTTTAGTGACCCTGTAGGACAGGGAAAACTGCCCAAGTTTCCAAGTCTGTAATTCTTTGCAGAAGCAGCCTGCCACATCTTTCTCCTAATGGTGAGTTTGAACCACTGACCTTTTAGTTAGCATCCAAGCACTTGACCACTGCACCAGCAGGTCTTCTTGTGTTGATAACAGGAACATTAAAAAGAACATGAATAAGACAAGCTAGTAAAAATTAAAGGAAGAATAGTTCAAGTCAGCATACAGCGTGAAACAGCATTAGAACTGTTCAATCATGCAATGCGTTGATTTGAAGCACAATGAGCTCCCATCCTTTAAGAGATTCCAATAAAATCTAAGTGACCATATGCTAGAAATACTATAGAGAATGTATATGGATGTGTTAGGCCAGATTGACTAAAGAAACATATCCAGGGACACTCATATACTGTGTCTGAGAGAGCTTTATATCAAAAAGCAATTATACATTGAGAAAACTTCCCAGCCCAGTCCAGATCAAGTTCATAAGTCTGATATTAACCCATATTGTCTGATACTAGCCTATAAATTCCTCTTCGGACTCATGCAGCAAATGCAATGATGCAGAATGCAGGAAGGTCAGAGGCCGGTAGATGAAAAGTCTTGTGGATCCAGTGATGGTGGAAGCATCTGAGTGCTGATGCAGTCTCCATGTGCCTCCTCTGAGTGTGGCTCCTCAACAAGAAGGTGAAGCAGAGAGAGGGGAGGCTCCTAGCACCTCTCAGCAACATGGCTTATCAACAGGAAGACCAAGGTAGAGAGAAAGAGAGAGAGAGAGGAAGTTCCCAGAATCCTCATGAGAAGTCCCTGCCCACAAGGAGGCACCATCAGACTGTGACCTGATTGACAGACTAGACTTTATCCCTTTACTCTTAATGCCCTTGAGTTGCCATGAGATTATGTAATTAGCAAGTAGATTATTGGT